CCGCATTTTACAACATTTTGCAACGAAACTTTGGAATATTACTAATTTTGTGATGCTCCTTCAAGCTGTGATGAAATTTTTGTCTAGACTTGTTTAGTTCAAAATTTAGTCTATTACGCAAATGGTCAACTGAGCTAGTGAGCTACAGAGTCCACATATTGAGCATTCACTTCAAGTTCATAAGGTGTGTGGTACCAGGATCTTGGGCATCTCGCCTAGATAGAACTATTAAATGTTGGAGGGTTTAAATCTCGAGTCTAAATTTTATTATATTTCTTGGGTTTGTTCCGCAGTTTGTTCAGTTTCAAGGCCGCAAAGGATATCTAGGTAATTGGCGCAAGTAGTGTCCAGAATGAAAAGTGTGAACGCTGAATGAGATATTTTGTGCGCAGATTACTGACAGGTGTACATGTACAACAACAACGTTTTATTCCAACCAAAGCAAATTAATTTCAAACTCAATTTTAGATTCTAGTACTGAAATTAGCTACATTGGTATTGGTAAAATCTAGAAAAACCACGTATATCAGAAAGCATATTTTTGACCAGACAGCGTCTGAAATATTTCCTTAACAGTTTAATATATTAAAGACCGATCTAATTATAGTATGCCCTATTATTCTATTGAAATGACTATCTAAAGAAATATTTCAAAAATGTACGTAGGCTGCGTTTGTTGCCCGCAAGCGGGCTGGACACAAAGATTAATATATAACGCAGTCAAGTACTAAAAACAGTTATATGCTTAAAATTTTGGCCATGAACCGAACGAAAGCTAGATATAGAAATCTAAAGCGAGAACATAACATCACAATAAAAATAATTCAACAGACATGCGTCCGTGTTATTTGCATTGCTTAAATTTTGAATCCAATAATTATCACTAAAATTACACTTTAGGCTTGTAAATATGGCGAGTTTCGCATTGGCAGAAATCCTACGTGTATTTTCGGGTAAGTTGCGTAAAATTCGGAGAACGAGTGTAAAAATTCAATAAATTGAATTCAAAATAGTTTTGTTTGTGGAAACACCACGTAAATTTATTACTGCAAAGCTTTCGATCCGTAAGCCCGGATCTTCATCAGTGCTAATAATATACTATTGTATTTTATCACCATGCAAACATACAAAGAACTTAAATTTAATTCAGCAATATATTTCTGAACGAATTCCGAAGTTTCTTGCAAGAGAGTTGACTTTCCTCATGCAGATAATTATTATGCAGGAAAAATAGAGGGGGGGGGGGGGG